AACTTCTCCTAACTTTCTTTTCTTTTCAAATTTATTTTAAATTTATCATAATTTTATCAGTTCTATTCTTAATTCTTGTTCTTATCATTATTGTTGTTATTCATTTTATTTCATTCTTCTATTCCTGTATTTCATTTAATCGTTAATTATTCATAAAATTTGCAAAAATATGCTAATATATAATGCATAGAAATGCTCATAAATGGTTGCTTAAATGATATTTTAATTAATTTCAAGTTCATTAATAAATTAAACCATTCATTCGGAATGTTTTTTATAACTTCATTGAAGACATTTCTATTCATCGTTTATTCATAGCTTATGAAGTAAAAAAAAAGTACGAAATTAGCATATTTTAATTTTCACATTTCTTGCATACTTTTGCATTTTAATGAAATTTTATATAAATTTACATATTTTAATATTTATGGTTAGATTCACTGTGAATAAATAATTTTGCATAGTTTGGTTTAAATTTATTAAATTGTTGTCTTCTTAATTCATCTAATTAGGATTTAAGTCAAGAAAAGACGAAACTATAGCAAAAAAAAAAAATTGAAATTTTCCAAGTTTTATTGAAAATGTAGAAATTCTTTGAAAAAAAGAAGCAACATTGAAAATTTTTACAATTTAATAAATTTTATAAATTTGTGTATTTTTGCTGTTAGATTCATTGTGAATAAACAATTTTCCATAAACTTTAAACTTCAAATTATAAATTAGAAATTCAATTTTCAAATTATAAATTATAAATATAAAAAAAAGAAAAATTCCAAATGATGAAGGCTATTTAGTAATTTTCATCCTTCGAGGTTGATTAATTATACATAGCTTATTGATTAAATGTTAAAATTTTGTTAGCAAAAGATTATTTGAAATTTTACTCTTTAAATTTTATTTTTGAAATTATTTCATCGATAGATTAAGAATGTATATTAGCTATTCCTTTAATTTATCAATATTTTAAAATGTATATTTTATAGAAATGTATTTAGTAGCAATGAAATTTGTTGTTTAGAAATAAAAGTTTAATTTCTGAAAAATTTCTATCATTTCTTTCGACGAATTCTTGAAAACCTCCAGGCGTAATTCTTATATGAAGTGTTATAAAATTTTTATAAAATTGTTCCGAAAGAGATAAAAATGAATAAACTAATTAAAGCTAATTAAAAATTTGAATAAATTAATTGAAGCTAATTAAAAGATAAAAATAATTTAATTAAAGTTAACTAAATGATAAAAATTTTACAAAATTTCATTGTTTCTTGTAAAAAGAAAGAGGAAAAATTGGTTTATTAAATAGGAGCTATGAATAGGGGGGTCATTTATATTTGATAATAGATGCAGTGAATTTAATCTTTGTCCACTTCGCGTGTCATCATATTGGCATTGTTTATCGTCGATCCATTTGCTTTGCATATTTCTGCTTATTTGGATGATCATCTATAATGGACATGTATATATACATATGTGTTTACTTCCTGTCAATCAAAGTCATCCATATATGGAAATTTTCCTATTTTCCAAATCCTTTTATTAGAGAGGGAGAGAGAGAGAGATCAGAGACAATTAGTCATCTAGTTTCGTTGTTGTTTTGTTAAAAATATGAAATTTCATTTTTAACATTAAATTCAAATTAGAATTATGAAATAAACAAAGAAATAAATACAACATAAGTTTCATTCCTTCCCTCTTTTTTTTTTCGATCACAGCTGATTTATTTATATTAATTTTATTGGATAATTATCCCCTATAATATAGCAAGTAATTAAGCATACTTATCATAATTTTACTTTAATCTCATGATTAAAACAATTTAATTATCAAACTTTATAAAAGACAACTGTCTATTATCATAATTTTGCAGTTTTTTTTTATCATTTTCAAAGGATAAAAAGTTAGGTATATATATATATATATATATGTATATATATATATATATATATATATATATATATATATATATATATATATATATATA